TTTTCTAAAGATGACGATAGTGAAGGCAGAAAGAAAAAAAAATATATATATATATATATATATATAGAGAAAAAAGAAACGAAGACTAGAGACAGAAGACAGAAAAAAAAAGAATTAAATAGAGAATGATGTTAGATGATTGCTATATCTTAATACCTCGTCTTTCAAGTGCATTCTAGGAACTCGCTGGCGAACATCCTACGAGCGCGAGGGTACATGTTACGTACCATCTATAAGTACAGAAAACGGAGGTGTTGATCAATAGTTGGTACATCAGAGACAAGGGGCGTACTTTGTTCTACACATATATACATATATATATAAACTATCCATATATTACAAAAAGAGAAAGAGTAAAAAATAGAATGAGCGAAAGTGAGATACAGGGATAAAAGGCAACGGTGGATTCTCTTTATCATTTCTCTTTTCATTATTTAAAAAAAAAAAAAAAAAAAATTAATTATCAAAGATTTCTCTTCTCTCTCTCCCATTAAATTTCTCAATTAAATTAAATTGTTAAATTGAAAAAAGTTGGTTTTAAAAAAAAAAAAAAAAAAATTAATTATCAAAGATTTCTCTTCTCTCTCTCCCATTAAATTTCTCAATTAAATTAAATTGTTAAATTGATATATGCAAAAAAGTTGGTAGATTTTTAATTCCATTGCACCCCACACGCAATAGAATTATGATTTATTTTTATACAAGTTCAAAAAAGAACAAACTAGCAGACTCAAACATTCACGTAATACACGATGATCTACAATCAATTATAGAAAAGTCGCAGTTTCAATCGCACTTGACATACCTCAGCACTGACTCAACGATGCGATCAGAAGCGCGCGTGTAAAATAAGCGTTACGAGCGAGCTTCCATACACACGAGCGACTATTCGTATTCCGCTTAGCTTATTACGAACGCGTAACACTGACGTAAGATGTCCGCGATTTTCCCGACGACTTGTTTTCCTCTTTTGAGCGCGGGAGAATGGGTGTGGGTGGAATTTCATTTTTTTCCCTTACATACACGGCAATTCTACTCCTGCTACGCAGTATCCTTGTATCATTTTTTTTCATTCTACATAATTATTCACACATCTACATCTTTTATCGTTGCAAGATTATCGCATGTTGTATTCAGCTGTAATAACTATAGCAATTAATTTTGAAAAGATCGGAAATTTATTTGTTAGTGTTATAAATATGTTTTCCAGACCATCGAAGAAAACACAATTTCTGATGATTATACACATTGCTGACTGGCTCCTGCTCGGAATACGTCAATCTTTTTTTCTGTTTTCGTAACAAGAGGCTTATTCGCGATTGGGTAGGTTAGGCACGTTTGAACAAACCCGGGATCGACCGCCTCGCACAGATGCGAAGGACTCTCACTTTTATATCGGTCTCCTTGAAGGAAGTTCTCCCGGTCGTCGACAGTTTTGCTCTGCATCCGCGGGGAATTACAGTTAGCTTCGCAAGGACGGGCTGACGGCCTTTCCCGTTAAGAACGACGGAACGTTGTATGAACGGACCGTTCACATTATCATCGACTTGTCACGACCCGCGCTCCTAAAAGATCGTCGATAATCATACGAAATTTTTCAACTTACTCGAATTGATGCAATATTAATCGAAATATATTATATATATATATATATTTCGCAAAAGAAAATTGCGGTACCGATTTTCCGATATCAAAAGAGTGATATTTGATAGTTTATGGGTCACTTATAATAAAAATTAAAATGGGCTCAAAACTAGTGTCTTTTCCTCAAATTCTATATGTATACTGATGTGGAAGATTGATTAATAAGCAAAATACAGAGCCGATCAATAGATATACTCGTGAACTTCGAAACAGAACGATTTTTGGCAAAAAATGTGTTTAAAAAAACGGATATATCTATTTACTTATCTATTTAGTTTTGAATAATATTGCGTGATCAGCTTCATCTCAACAATAGTAGCGAGAAAATTATCCCAATAGTGTTCTGATTTTTAAAGAGCAACTTTTAAACCATTGCTGTTTAATATTCACCGACGAGCCATTATAATCTTCCACGATTATCGTGCGCTTCGTCGTATTGACTCATCCGTCGAATCTTGCAATCGGAAAATCACTTGTAATTAACTGCACGATAAAGACGTTAAACCTTTGCGAGCAGTATAGACGAATATAACTCTGTACATCTATTGCGAAATGCATACTCTTTAATTTTAATTAAAGACAAAACATACATTTATTTGGCATAAGAGATCTGTTTAATCTCTTCATTTCTCTCTCTCTCTCTCTCTCTCTTCTCTCTCATAGACCGTCCTCAGAAATCTTACGTATAATTCGAAAATTCGCTAAGGACTATTATCGAATAGTGGTAATAGTATGTTTGAGAATGTGTTCGACAGCACTATACCGGTATTTTAATGATCGCGCCATAAAACGGCGCTCGCGATCGATCGGTCGGCTGTATTTGGACAGGACGACTATCGCGCGCGCGTCGCCTTCTCGCGCTGCATTCGCCGGACTTTTTGCCGGCCGAAGTGGAATGACCGGCCCTGAAACGTTCGGACGCATGTATGCATTATCCGTCCCCCATCGGTTTATTTCTGGCGGTTCGCGAATTCGTGATGAGCGCTCCTCTCCGCGAGTGCGAACGCCGTGCCCGAGAGTCCGAGTGATGTCATCCCTTGAGATCACCGCGGCGGGGTGTTTAGTTGCGTAAGAATCTCGACCGACAAGGAGAGCCTCATTGTTCGTAGCCGCGTAGCCGCGCCGGATGCATCGTGAAGATGGGAGAAGCAGTGTGCGAACTACGAAAGATAGAACTAACTTATTCTCTTCTTTTTCTTTTACGAGTTCTTCCGTAAAGACTATCATCCTAATGCTCTTTTCCCCTTTTCAAAAATTGTAACACAACATGCTACGATACTCTATTCCTAAAAAAGTAAGGAAATGCAATATATGCATCTCTAACTCACAATCAGATGTAGAATATTTATTTCTTCACTTTACAGCTTTTTTTATACAAAATATGCAGTCAACAAATATATTATTTAAATTTCTAAATGGCCCTGATTTGAAAAGTTGGTATCTTAAAAAAAAAATCAAAATATTAAAAAAATAATAAATTTAAGTATTAAAAGTTTAGTAAATTAAGTATTAAAAATTAAATTCTGTGCTATATAATGAACAAATATAAAAGTGCCATAATTATTACAAAAAGTAAACGAATAATGAATAGAGAAAACTATAATATGTATGGCATTCGTCTTTTAACGAAAATACAGTGTGAAATATAAATATAAGATTTATATAAGATTAAAGAAATATAAAGAAATTTAGAATTTATTTGTTCAAAAATTCAATTACAATTTTTTAATTTTCTCTTCTTTTATTGCTCGATGATTTAAAATCTATCGAGCAGAGAGAGAACGTACTCGCGATCCCGGAAAGTTTTCTTGGCGTCATTTAAATACGACACTGACCTATCGACAGCGCTGGCTCTTAGAACAAGATGCGAATGATAAATAGTATCGCAAACACACATCATGCGATAACCTATTTGTACTTCACGCCCGGCGTATACTTTCATTACTTCATCTCTTAACGCTCGAGCGTACCATGACGAATTGTAAATTCGCAGAAACGATCGTCTCTCCCTCAAGATTCGCTTTCGTTCCTACGTGTGCGCGCAACCGAAAATCATTTAATGAGGGCAGCCGCGATTAAAGATCTCACTCTACGCATCTGTATTCTTCTTTTTCCCTTACGTAATTGATAAAGATATCAATTCATGCTCAAGAAAAACTACGATCCAATATATCGTCTGATAAATTTGCGCGCCAAAGATCTTGATCTGTATTCTCGTGGCGCATCAACCGTAAACCTCGATAATCTCATTGAGCGATGATCAGGATTCCGAGATCATTCTCGCGCGTGTGATCTGGCTGCGAAATCGGATGTACATAAGCGACACACCTTTACTGTCGCGGCGCAGATGCATAAATTTTGCGGCGCAAAGTTTCCTATTACCTCTTTAAAGAACATAATAAAGTAACTCATTTCAATCTCACCCAGCGTTTTGATAAGAAAAAAGAGCATATAATAGCCACATTAATTAAGTATAATCGATAGCTGAGATTTTATCTGTATCTATACCGAGCAGTCACGTTTTATTATATATACTTTATTTTATTCTTTCTACGCTTAAAAGAGATAAGTAAGATACAAAGTAAGTGAACACACGTATTCATGTGTTGGAGAAAGAAGAGAAATTTATATACTATTTATTAATAATATAATATTAATAGAAAAAAATGTGTAGGTAGAAGAAAAATAGACGTTTGAAAAATACAAAAGGAAATCGAATGATAAATAACGTTAATGAACACTTTGTCGTTCGGGCCGTCATGCTTAATCAGCTATCGCGATCGTTATTAATCGACGATCGCCGTACCTGGTTTTATACCGCGAATACATCGAAGGGAGGGACGTCGAGTGGGTGCGGTGAGAGATTATTGTTTATTCATTCGAGGATTATCCTTCGGCGAGTTCAGTGGCTGCGCCTACTTACGGAATGACGGTAATCCTCTCTCGCTATTTTTTACACCCTCCCACCATGAGCGCGACTCGCTTCCACGCAGAAAGGGGGAACGCGACGGAGATACGTTCGGGTGGTGGCATTATTTACGATCGTGCGATTAAGGCGCGACGAGAATCACCCTTGTGCAAAAAAAAAATAAACAAACAAACAAAAAGAAAAGAACAAAAGAAAAAGATAAAAAAGAAAAGAGAAAATTCGAACAGGATTCTCATCTCTTCGTTCCTTTATGCACTCCGCAGGCATCATTTGCGCTCAGGGTGATCTCTGGAGGGATCAGCGAAGATTCGTAGTCGGATGCCTGAAGAATTTTGGCATGGTTAAGTTACCCGGTACCAAGAGGGACAGAATGGAGGAAAGGATTCTCACGGCCGTGAGCGAATGCATATCGGTAAATTTAGCGCTTAATAACATTACTAATAAGCCTAGCCTAGCTAAATGGACATTTTACGCGAGGCCATCGTGTGTCACGTAAATCTGCCCCTAAACGAGTATATTTATGACCAAACATTTTATTTCAAAAGGAATATTGACGCAAAATAACACGAATTCTTACGCGAGTTATCATTTATTTATCTGGAAATGTCATTGCATTTAATGAAGCTATTAATTTCTGTGACATTTCGACATGCTATCAACAATGACGTTTAAGAATTTAAATGTAAAAACCGTTGCTATAATATTGAAAAAGAATGTTCCATAATCCATGTTATTTAAAAATGTTCTAAATATTAATTCTGTTTTAAATATTAATTCCTGATTAACGGAGAACGAAGCATTATAGATAGAAATTCCTCATCGATCCTTCAGAAATTAAAAGATCGCGCTACGGAAGACGGTATCGATCCACTGGAAATACTTCATCATTGCGTGGGCAATCTGATGAACGATCTCGTATTCGGCAAAATTTACGAGGAGGACGACGAGGTGTGGAAATGGCTGAGACATTTGCAGGAGGAAGGAGTCAAGCATATCGGAGTCGCAGGGCCGCTCAACTTTTTACCGCTCCTCAGGTACGGCGCTATCCCTGACAAAGATCCTTCGAAGTTCCTTCCCAGATCGACGTGACTGCGTATTTGCATAACGCGCGATATGTTTTGCACCTCGCTAACGAAAGGTAAACCGCATTACCGCGCGGAAAAAACCAAGTGAATTGATCTAAACGACCAATTAACACGTCAATGATGCGGCAATGATTCATTCATCGTCTACCATGCAAATGCCATGTTTTTTATCGAGGGCGATGGTTTTCGATCGATAAACATAGAAGGATAGACAATTTTTTTTTTGATTACATATATGTATATATATATAAGCAATATGATAAATTGAATTAAATACCCCCATTTGGAAGAATAAATACAAATCTTTGTAAAAAAAAGATAGTGCAAAGGATAATTTTATTCGTGCTAATTAAATTTGCATAAGGTAAATCGAAAAGATTATCGATAAAGTACGTCCTCAACGAAAGGTTATGATTATCAAATCAAATTAGCTTATTCTAATAAAGGTGGTGATATGCAGAATATAAAGCTTCATATAATTACGTTATTGCTATATAAATATTATAACGATTATTACTACATATTTGTTATTTCTAATTCTCACACATAAATATTATTTATTTATACATTATATATTATACAAATAATAAGTATATAATTTATATTTTTTTTAGATATGGTGTGAATCTGTGTAGAATATATTTAAAGATATTCAACTAAAACTTATATTAAAGTTAATGATAAAGTAAAGTTATATATTTAAAAATATAGAGATTAATATAAATTCATATGAGGTTTAAGAGTAAATAAAAAATTTTTTTGTTGGATTTTTTCGGTTGTTTAGATTTTTACCACGATATGGCAAATTAATGGCGTCACTTATCGATGGCAAATTGAAAACACATCAAATATATCAAACGTTTATCGATGAGCATCGTGCTCGGCTTGAAAAGACAGATAACATTCTTGCGGCTTTCGACGATGTGATGAGAAGCAATGTAAACAATCCTGGATACTTTACGCAACCTCAATGTTATCATCTCTTGGCCGATCTTTTCGGCGCAGGCACCGATACGACCTTTACAACTCTTCGATGGTTTTTGCTTTTCATGGCGACGCATCCAGTCGAACAAGTATGCTTATTTTTTTTTAAATGTTTCTCAATAAGACACTTTTAAATAAATGTTATTTCTGATGAAGAATCTCGATTCGCTGTACGATTTCTTCAAATTTTATATATCTTTGTTTATATGTAGAAAAAAATTCACGATGAAATGAACGAACTGTTGGGACAAAAGCCGGCCAGTTTGGAGGACAGACTTGTTTTAATTCGACTGGAAGCTGCCATCGCGGAGACACAAAGATTGCGAAGCGTTACACCGCTTGGCATTCCTCATGGAACAATAGAGGTAACATTATTACAGTATTAATTAGAATGAAAAAATTAACGCAATTTTTATACTTATTTTATAAAATTAAATATATCTGATTATTTATTTGTAAGTAATTATAACAATTGCAAATCAAGAATATATGTTTTTGTTGTTGTGACTAATATCGACAACAAACAATCGCAGTTAATTTTGCAATTTCTGCGTATGACAAATAAAAATTAAAATAAATTGATGCGAGACAATTTACATCCAGAACACGCAAATAGGCGATTATGACGTACCGAAAGGCACCATGGTTATTCCGTTGCAGTGGGCTATTCATACGGATCCTTCATACTGGCACGATCCGCTCTCTTTCAAAATCGAAAGATTTATTGCTGAAGATGGAAGTCTTGCCAAGCCAAAAGCTTTTTTGCCTTTTCAAACGGGTAATGAACGCGAAATGCAAGATCGAAAACAGTGTTTCATTTAATATCAAATAATATATGTATATGTTGCATTTTATATAATTTTAAGGTAAACGTATGTGCATCGGTGATGAATTCGCCAAGATGATATTATTTCTCTTTGCTGCAAGGATTCTTCGCTCATTTGTTATATCGGTGCCACCCGGTACACACATTGATCTAGAGGGCGAATGCGGAATTACTCTGATTCCAAAACCGCATCGGTTGGTTTTTACGTTGCGGGAATAAATTACAATATTTTTCTTATACTCATTAATATTATATACACAAATTATTATATATATTTACAAATTTCATAAAAATATATATACACGCTTTTTTTGTATATATGTATAATGGTAGCATTCGTACAAAAATACAATTAAAATAAATGATAATAATATTCATCTTTTATCAGATCTTACTATTAATATAAACTATTACATGTTTATTTATTATTATGCTAAAGCATAATAATTATATTTTTTTTATAAATTTATGGTTCTGCCAATATGAGTCTTAAGTAAAATATATTTAATTGAATCATATTTATGTTAATTATATATATCAAAAATTAAAATTATGTTAATATGCATACGATCGCTTGATTCATTACGTTTCAGTACTATTTATTAAAAATCAGAGTTTTATTCTACTGATTTATCTGTCTCTTTCCTGAAGACTAATGACTTTTATCAAACCGAACTTTTATCATAACGAGCTGCGGCACAAAGGTTGCTGAAATACATGATTTTAATTAATTTCAGATATCTGTCAGTAAATCTCTGTTTACGATTACTTTGCTTGTTTACTTGCAACAAGTTGAACGCCAAATTTTTATATATACGTATACGTTTTTCACAAGGCAAATATTAATAAGATCGGTAGCTAACGTCGCGCAAGATGTCAGATATTCGCGTGTCGGTTTATAACCTGATTGCGATAACCTCGGCAGTTAAATATTTCGCCATCGCCAAACATTTCGGCATGCCGGTATAAGAAAAAACGAGCGTTTTTATTAAAGCGTGCGAAGCGAGGCGAGTCGCGAGAAAATATCCACCCTGTGAAGATGGAGCGGGATTTATTTGCATGCATCTCGCGACTTTAAATCGGCGCATGTTCACTACCAATGTACGCTCTTAATATGGAGTTATATGCCGTTAAAATATCAACCGCGATCACGGATTATTGGGAGATGATTTTACATAAATCGCGCGCGCGCCCCTTCGCTTCACTCCTTCTCTCTCCTTCTCTTTCTCTTCTTTTTCTCGCACATCTCGCATCAGATTCGTGAAATTCTGTCATCGTTATGCAACACGCATTTTTTTCTTCTCAACGTAATGGCCTTGGATAAATTATAAGAGCACACCGTTCACCATACATTACTAAAATGGTTGCGTTTCCTTCTATTAATTGTCGAAGCATACAAAAACGCTGCAGGATATAGGGAAAAAAGCAAGAAACTAAGAATTTTGACTCTTTTCGTTCAATGAGAAGAGAAAAGGTCGAGGCTCTCGAAATGAAGGATGAGTGCATTCGAAGGCCTCATCCTGCTTCTTGTCCATGTTAACATATTTATGCATTTTAAATGTCAGTAAAACGCTCGACGGATACTGTGAACAACATGTAAAATTATGCAACCAACGCAGAGATTTTATTTGTAAAAAAATTTACTTATAAAAAGTTGATCTTACAGCTTGCTTGATAAAGATTTATTCTTCTGATTTAAATTGATTATATTTTTATCGTATACAATGGGAGGATGAAATTTTTTGCGTTAGTTTTGGCGAAGTATACGAAAAAAATTAATCATTTTCAATGGAAAATGCGGTGGATCAGCTGTTTGCGATAACAATAGTTCACAATGTAGTAAATAATTGAACGGATCATTAATAGCAGTATATTAGGTGAAAAGTTTATTTTGTAGTTTGAACTATTTTTTTAACGTAATTTGCATAACATAAAAAATGCAAAAATCTGCTAAACGATACAAAACGCCAATCAATTTTTATTCTGGGAACAACTACAGTTAACTTTCAACTGCTTCTTGACAGACTACATTGCAATGGCCCAATGCCACTTTAATCAAGAGATGAAGAAATTCAAGTAAACCGAGCTATAAAAAGAAGCTGCTCTATCAACACACTTTCAACTTTGTGCTGGGTAGTAAAAAAAAAAAGCCACAAAACGCCTCTTCCTGCTTCATTGAGTCAAACCTTGAAGCAACGGTTCTTCAAACTTTCTGTCTTCACTGTGTACGGCAGCCGGTTGGCTACTCGACCGACTCTTGGGCGACGAAAAGGCCACGAAAAGAGACATATATACCAAAACGTAAAGTATAAAGGCCCTATTACTGGGTCAGCAACAACAGCCACGTCTGCACATGGCGCACATGCGCATCTGGGATACCTATCTGCGTGCACGTATATTGCAGGAAACGCGCCATTATCACAATGTACGTCCACGGGACGTGCTGACAGCCGGCTGAGCTGACCTTACGTAACTTGTGTGCGGTTTGGGGCCACTTGACTTTCGTGTCATTAACCTTATCTTACGGGCGTAATGTGTACCCGTCGACGATATTTCGTTAGAAACTCAGAGCGCGCGAGTTTCTCTTATGTAAGCGCGCGAAGCGCTGGTCTTTCGCTTTTGCGAGCCGCGATGCTCCGCGAATTTTATTATCTCCTTCGTATGTTTGCACGAGTAAACTTGGTACGGGGTAAACGAGGTTACACAGTACTGTGACATGGAAAATCTATAAACTAATTTATATTATATAAATTTACTTGTATATAAATCTTACAAACTTCGGAAATCTTAATTAATCTTGAAAATTTGTGAGATTTTATTAGTAAAAATATCACTTTTGACAAAAGTCAGCCGTCAACTGATATTGTATAATACTCCAGTAATATGAATCTTAACTTTAAAATTATTACGAAAACGTTCTCGTGCAAATGACCTGACAATTTCTTGGCAACATTTCTTTTTCTAATTGGGCACTATTAGAGCCTTCTCTTTAATCACCCAGTCAAACTCGCCAACCAGCGGGATTGTATCTATTCGTGACTATTTTTAGCTACAGCATCGCGGACTGCCTGGTTGTATAAATTGAAAAAAGCGTACTACCAAATGCGAGAATGCTGAACGGACCAGTGGAAGAGAAAGCTAGGCCCAGCTCAGTCCTCTTTCGTAGGCCCCGAGCAAAAGTCCTCGAAATATTGAGCGGCAGGAAGGAATGAGCGCGCGATCACAGAGATCAGAGTCGAAGGCCGATGGTGCAGCTGAGGAACCAGAAGTTTTTTTACTCATCTTTAAGAATCCGGTTCTCGAGGCTGCAGTTTTCAGACGAAATTTTTCGCGGGAGCAATCGATGAAAAATTTGATTTCTTGAAATACACCAACTTTGAGATCTCTCTCTCTCTCTCTCTCTCTCTCTCTCTCTTCAGAATCTGTGAAATAAGTTTCCTTACATAATAAATAAGCAATGCGATTGAATTGTTAGGGATAAATCAGCCATTAGATCAATTATCTCAACTGCAAAACATCTTTATTTCATAGAAAAAAAGAAACATTTAATAACACAGGTCGACGGGTGAACACAATGCGGCATTCTGCAACTCGTGCGTGCTACGTGCTAAGATTAATTAACGCCCTATCGGATAACTCGGGCGAAGAAGATTACTTTGCGCGCGGAGCATATCGAATCCCGGATATGCTAGAAGCGAATCCATCAGTCATCAAATAAAATGAGTACTTGGGGGTTTTTCGGACTTTCTAGTTCCTCTATATCTCGGGAGAGGAACGATGGGATCGGCGAACAGCCGCGCACTCATTGCCGTTTCTAGGATGCACAGCCTGGGATACCTTTGGGAAATCGGATTGAGACGACGTCACAATGAATCGTCGACCGTACATCCCGGATCTCTTGGATATTCACAGCCTCAGCCCGCGCTCGCGCCCGAACAGTAAATAGGCGATTATCGCTCGTTGGGTCGATGTTCGTTCAGTCTATTTCCGAACGATCGCCACGTCGCGGCGGATGTCGCAACGGCGGAATCTCACGGCGACTTTCACGAAAATCGCTCTCGGCCGATTCACATCGGCGTCGGCGCCGACGCACAGTCCGCTCCTATCGCTAGAAAAGTTAACAAAATCGCGATTTTGCGCGAGTGATCTCGGGTACAAGGGCAGTCTCGCATTCTCGTCAAACGGCACGTCGACCAGCTATGTATCATTAAATATACGCATACAGCACACACGCTAAACGCACGCTACGCGCTCACGCACGGTCAAATGGATAATCTATTTACATACACTAGGATATGTTGTCTCTCTCTCTCTCTTTCACTCTCTTTCTCTCTCTCTTTCTCTCTCTCTCTCTCTCTCTCTTTCTCTCATTGTCTTTCTCTCTCCACTATTTTTTTTATCTTAATAGCGGATTGTTATCGTTATCGTGGACGAAAGAGGGGCATCGAGTCGCTATCCTCGTTCGTCCGCGGAGATCTACGGCGAATCGACGGTGTTAAGGAGTAACGTACTAAACACGAATGACAAAGCGCGATGGCTGAGATATCTCTGAGACATCTCTGAGACATCTCTGATTAGAAACGACTGTATTGTAACGGGATTAACGTTGCTCGTTTACGAGGCACAAAATAGCTATCGAAACAGTTCGATACATCAAAAACGCGTCGATCTCGCCGATTTAGACTAAGCGCTAATAAATACGAGGCCTGGGATGGAAGGAGAAACGGGGCAGAGTAACATTCGCAAAGCAATAAATACTCATGGAGACTATCGGAGTGGGTGAAGGATGGGCGGACGTAGGAGAGAAGGTAGGGAGAGATGATTCGAACCGTAGGCTCCTTTTGTACTCTAAGCTTTACCCGAGGAGGATTTTCGTTTCCCTTCGATCATTCAATCAATTTTTGTTTATGCTATTTTCCAAAAAAGTTACTTTTGTAGCCAAAAAAGTTATTCACATTATTCTTATGGTCCCGGCGTCAATATAAGATGGTTACGTAGAATTTTTAATCCATGATTGTAATAATTGATCACAATCCCATTTGTAATATCTCGATGATGCCCGTAGTGGCGTGGCTAACGATTTTTCTTATCTCTTGTAAATAAATTATCCCGTGTGGGGGTGGGTAACGTTTTTTTTTTTTTTTTTTTTTTTTTGGTTTAGGGACTTTCTTTGGATCAAAATTTTTTTAATTTTGTATAGTGAAAAGAAGCCACGCTTCTGGTATGGCGAGGTCATGTGCACGGAATTGACAAAATTAAA